CCCCAAAACCCCAAAACCCCAAAACCCCAGAAGGTATATAAATCTTGAAATAATCTTAACTATAAAATATGTTGGCGATCACCTTCGATATCAAGAACAACTTGAAAGTAGTAGGAGCTGGTTATATCAATAATGACAGGAGGACCCTCCAAATAGTGGAATTTGAAGACAACGACTACTTTTCTTATCTCGAGTCACTAATAATTCAGATATCTTCGCAAGAAGGAGATGCTAAGAGCTTTAATGTCCAGATCAACATGCCACCTGACGATTCCTATTCCTCCAGAGTTGAGGAGATATTCTCCAACTGTGATGTAGAGTTTCTTCATGGTAATAGGAGTGACTTCAAGGCAGATGAAGTTGAGAAATATCTCTCCTCACTCTTAGAAAATGACATCAAGCACTACGAAACAGAAATGTCGAAAAGTTTGGGCCTTTCAGCCTTAAGCGCAGCCATTAGTGCTTCTAATGTTTACCAAGAACTAGGAAATCATGGGAAGTATTCTTTAGAAATCTACCCCATGAGTCAGTATATGAGGTTGGATACAGCCGCGATTAATGCTCTGAATCTTTTCCCGCAAAATTACAATGCGGCAAATCAATTCATCACAAATGATGTAACATCGATCTACGAGATTATTAACCATACTAAAACGAGCATTGGCTCTAAACTTCTCAAAACATGGATGAAACAGCCTATCAGAGATGAGAAAGAGATCCTCAGAAGACTCGATATTGTAGAGTTCTTCATCAAGCACAGTGAAGAGAGAGCTACTATTCAAGATCAACACCTCGGCAAGATTCCTGACGTAGAGAAGCTTCATGTAAAGTTTTACAAGGTAAAGAACGGTCTCCCCAACAGAGCAAACCTTGCTGATTGAGTTAAAGCTTACAACATGATCTGCTGATTTGAAGAGGTTGAGGAGATTCTTAATAATCTTGGACTTGATCAAAAGCATCCAATTTCTGAAAATTACACTCAGAAAATATCCGAAATCATCAAGGATTTTTCAAACCTTAAAGACCTTATTGAAGAGGGAATCGACATCAACGAAGTTGCCTCAGGAGACTATATTATCAATCCAGACTACAGCGAAGAGCTCAAGAGACTTTATGAAGAAATCAAGGCTAAACATAAAGAGATGGAGCAATATAGAGATGAACTCAATGAGGAATTTAAGTTAGATAAGACCCCGATAGTCCTTGTTGAATCCAACTCTCATACCTATGTGTTTGAAATCAACAAAAAGGCCGGAGATAAGCATATCAGAAAATCTGAAGATTACACAGTTGTCCTCTCAAAGAAAGTTTACATGTCCTTCACCTCTCCAAGACTTGAGAATCTAGTCGACGAATTTAGAGAGCTTCAGGAGAGCTATAAAGTAGAGCAAGACGAACTTGTTCTAAAAGTTCTGGATATTGTAGCAACCTATTTTCCAGTCATTGAAAGAGCATCAAATCTCATTGCAGAGTTTGACGTATTGCTTGGATTTTCAGTAGCCTCTACTAGCTCATCATCTGATTACTGTAGGCCAGAGATTGGCAGCTCTATTGAGAAGTTGAACCTGACTAATTCCAGGCACCCACTTATTGAGAGAATTAATCCACAAGGATGTATTAGCAATGACTGCAATATGGTCAGAGGATTCTCAAATTTACAATTAATAACAGGTCCTAATATGGGAGGAAAGAGCACATACATCAGGCAGATAGCCATCAATGTGTTGTTAGCACATATTGGCTGCTTCATTCCTTGTGAATCTGCCGAGATTCCTATCCTTGATGCTATCATTGCAAGAGTTGGAGCCTCAGATCATCAATTAAAAGGAGTTTCAACATTTATGGCGGAAATGCTTGAAGCTGCTTGACTCCTCAAATCTGCTACTCAAGACAGCCTGATCATCATGGATGAACTAGGTAGAGGTACTTCTACAAGTGAGGGGTTCGGTCTTGCCTGGGCAATAGCAGAATACCTTGCAAACGACATCAATTGCTACTCTTTCTTTGCAACTCATTTCCATGAGCTCACATGTATTGATAAAGAAGTGAAGAATGCTAAAAATTATTATGTAGATGTTCTTGCAAAAGAGGGAGAACTAACGATGCTATATAAAGTAAAAGCAGGAGTGATCGATAGGTCCTATGGTATTCATGTTGCAGAGATGCTTAAATTCCCTCAGGAAATCATAGATGAGGCTCAGTTTATATCTAATCAGCTCGAAGGCCATTAAATCAATAAATTCTTTCAACTTCTGGCTAATTATATGGGGTTTTGGGGTTTTGGGGTTTTGGGG